TATATATATGCACATATATATTCCTTCGACTTCCACAAACTGAACGGAAGTTATCGGGTTGTTTCCCACACTTTCGATATGGAATGGCGATTTGTATTTTGTCTAACCGCTTCATTTCAACAGAACATGAGCCGAATTTCACTTTATAACCCACAGAACTGCAATGTTATGGTAATGTACATTTACTTGAAGCACACGCAAACTAGGCAAGAACTTCACGCGCGCTGAGGGGGGTTTCGCATGACACCGCCTAACTCAAAATTTGCTTCCGTGGATACTTGTATACTTGCGATAAAGTAAGGAGCTAAAATCATTCCTTTCGTTGACTGCTGCGCAGTAGGAAATATAAGGGTGCCCGTATCTTGTTTTTAAAACATCCACTAAGTTCTCGTAATTGAATGCGACTACCAGATGCGAGAATAAAGACGACCATTTTCGAATACAGAAGGTAAAAAACACGAAAGCCTAATTTTGTTGATATCCCATGAAAGAGGCATAGAGAACTGAACAAATACTTTATTTTTAAATAGATTTTATGCTTATTGATTCTACATATCTTACAGGTGCAAGTTAAATGTATTTGCATTAATAGAAAAATACGGTATGATATGGTATAAGGAAACAGTGTATTAAAAACTCTGTCGTTATATAACGTTTTTATTGTGATATTCGTAATCTACGTATCAAATTGAGTATGCTGCGCACTTTATCTTTCTGGAGATCAAAATCGTTTCCCTAGTGTAACAGTACCTCCTCTTACTTGTGTAACTCACCTGTAATGCGTGCTTTAACCCACCTACATAATTCCATAACGCTTGAGACAACCCCCACCCCATTTACTACAAGTAAAACCAAATTATATAAGCACTAAACACAATTTGAATCAATATGATGTGTCATATATTCACATTTACTATAATTAAAGTCAGAATTAGTTAGTGATGCAGACTTCACCTAACCATAAGATTAGCAGCAATGTTTGAGTGAAGGAAGAATGCCTACGAGTCAATTTATTTGGATTGTAGAATATACTACATAACAGTTTTGAATAATAATTTTCTTTACAATCTAACAGAATCAATCAATATTCAATTGTTGATGAAAATAATATCATATTTATTGTAAAATTTATACATCATAACTCTGTATTTAATTTATTCTTTAAACACTTAATTTGTTAACATTGATATATTTATATATTTACATTATATTATGTAAAGGTTATATTATGTAATTAAATTATGTGTAGTTTGTATTATTTGAAATGTCCGAAGATTAAGGATGCATATCAATAGATTCTGTCCTGATCGCCTGAACTCACAATGTTGAAAAATAAAAAAGTGAATGTCAGCATTTCGTAACACTAAACTAAAACTCCCACCCCTACGTAACACACCGTTTAGTTGCCTCAATCCCCCTTTCTATAGCACAATGCCATTTACGGACAAACTCTAATGAAATGTATGTTATTTGTTTAAAGATAGATTTGCATTAAATATTTGTATAATTTAATAAATGACATTATGAAATACCAATGCGTTTATTGTCCAATCCATGTTGTCCTCAGTGAAAATTGCCATCGGTCCGCGGTTCACGAGGTTTCCAAGGTCACTCGTGAGTCTTTTCGTCTGGAGGCCCTGACTATAACTACATACACACTCTACACTTATACTACACTATGTGATCAAAAGTATTCGGACACGTGGCTGAAAATGACTTACCAGGTCGTGGCGCTGTCCATCGGTAATGCTGGAATTCAATAGGGTGTTGGCCCACCCTTAGCCTTGATGACAGCTTCCACTCTCGCAGGCATACTTTCAATCAGGAGTTGGAAGCTTTCTTGGGGAATGGCAGCCCATTCTTCATGGTGTGCTGCGCTGAGGAGAGGTATCGATGTAGGTCGGTGAGGCCTGGCACGAAGTCGGCGTTCCAAATCATCCCAAAGGCGTTCGAAAGGATTGAAGTCTCGTGTGATTCATATGATTCTGTGCAGGCTAGTCCATTACAGGGATTTTATTGTCGTGTAACCACTCCACCACGTGCCATGCAGTATGAACAGGTGCTCGATCGTGTTGAAAGATGGAATCGCCATCCCTGAATTGCTCTTCAACAGTGGGAAGCAAGAACGTGTTTATAACATCAACGTAGGCCTGTGCCGTGATAGTGCCACACAAAATAACAAGGGTACAAGCCCCCTTCATGAAAAACACGACCACACCATAACGCCACTTTGGACGTGTTCAGATATTTTTGATCACATAGTGTGTTTATACTCACCCTACACTTTCCTCCCTACTGCAAATGTCCATCTCCCGGTAACTCCTTTCTCAATGTCTAAGATTTTTTGATCAATACAATTTTCAGAAGACCCAAGGGAAGAGTTTAGGGGTGCTGTGAAGCAAATCACACTCAAAAATATATTAAACTACTGCTAAATCAGCATGTACTTTCTCGTATTATTTCTAGCTTTGGTTATTTTCGCAAATCCAGAGTTTCAAATGCAGAGAAAATTCGAATTTGAAAAATTAAACTAAACTACTAATATTAAAAAAAGTAAAGATGTTGTCTGGTATCAATACTTTTTATTCAGCTTATGATCGTTTCGATCGCATAGCGATCATCCTCAGAGCTTGCAGCTTCCGAGCCGAAAACAAAGTTCTGAACAACATCCAGAAAACATCTTTATTTATTTATTATAATAAAAGGTATCTACCTCACCAGCGATCTAATTAATTAATTAAAAAAATACATGACCTTTTCTGAAAAACTGAGTTAATAAAA